CTGAGTAATAGTCACCTGTGTGTGTGTGTGTGTGTGTGTGTGTAAACACACACACACACACACACACCACATCTTCTCTATCCATTCATCTGTTGATGGACACTTAGGTTGCTTCCATATATTGGTAATTATAAATAATGCTGCTATGAACATTAGGGTGCATATATCTTTCTGAATTAGTGTTTTCAGTTTTTTTCGGATAAATACCCAGGAATGAAATTGCTGGGTCATATGGTAGTTCTATGCCAAGCTGTTTTGTAGAGTCATCCCATTGGCTTTCAAACCCTAGTACTGTCAGCAAGAAAGTAAGAGTGGTAGTGGTTGGTTATCCACTTTGAATGTGAGCTACCAGAGGTAGAAATTTTTGTCGGTTTTGTTCATTGCTAGGGTCTTGAACAGTGCTTGGCATAAAGCAGATTCTCAATAAATAACTGTCAAATGAATCTACTCTTTACAAATCCACCTAGAGATCTGTAGCCATTGTACCCCTTCTCTACAGTCTACAGAAAAAAAAATTCACTAGAATGACAACAGTGCCAATAATTATTAATCAGAAGACTCAGAAGTAGTGATATGAACAGTTAACATTTATTGGGTGTTTCCTTCTTTCCTTCCATCATTTATTCACTCACTGAACAAGTATTTGTTCAGCATCTACTATGTGCAAGACATTTTTTGTTTATATTTTTTAAAGCAATATTTTTAATATATTGAAAAAAGACTAGTTTTCTGTTTTTATATTATATGTAAATGAATATTAACATGCATTATAAAGTGTAAGTTGGGCAATTATATTAGAATATAAATTAAGATATTTAGAAATTTTACCTATAAAATAAGGGCTAAGAAGAAAATTTAAGACATGGATGCAATTAATTGTTGTGGGACTACTTCTAAAGGAGTAGTCAAGGAAGGCCCCTCTGAAGAGATGTCAAGTAAAAAGATACCAGAATGATTTTTAAAAGAATCAGCTATTATTGAGCCTGAGAAGAACATTACAGACACAGGCAACAGCACAAAACAATGCAACAAACACACTCCATGCATTAGAGGAATAGAAAGGAGGCCAATATGGCAAAAATGTAGTCTGGCCAGGCACTGTGCTTTGACATATATTTTCTCCTTTATTCCTCCTTACAGTCATATGAGACAGGCAGTATTATTATCCCCTATTTTATCAATAAGGAAACTGAATCTTAGAGAAGTTAAGAAGCTTACCCAAAGTCACAAGGTTAACAAATGGAGAAGTCTTCCTATACTATGATCTGGGGCATGGGTGACATGGTGCTAGTTAAACAGGAAAATCCCAAGAATGTTAATGACTCTATTAGTTTTTACCACTCAAGAATATTTTCAGGCATTCAACTAGGCCTACAGCCTTATAGATTTTGCACTTAATGTTCAATTCTTTCATCTAATTAAATTCTTCTGAATGTAGTTTAAATATTAAGAGTTTTAAAATGTTAACAGATGAGCTTATAAAATATTAGGTTGTTTTGTTTATACAAGCATTTATGCAAGTCTGTTTTCATTTCTAAAAGCCTCTGATAATTGTACAAGCCATAGCGTAAGTTCTGAAGAGGTAGGATACCAGTGAGACATTAAAAAGAGTAAATATTTTATTAACTGGTAATTGAATAAATATAATTCATCAAAAACAACAAAACATTAAGTCCATTTTTCAACTTTGTTAATACACCCAAAGATAACTTTCACATGGTGGGTTTACGTCCGCAAATTGTTTTAAATGCATTACGGAGTTTAAGTGAAGTGAATTACTGAATAAAGTCATATGGTCTAATAACATAAATCAGCATTTCCCAATCTGGTATTTCTCAGAACCAGTTCCAAGAGTTGCTTTGTGGGTAGAACAAGAGTTCTGTGGTTAAATAAGTGGTGGAAAACTGAATTCAATACCCTCCTTGACACTGCTTTATTTTTTCTGAAGGCCTTCTCAGAGCCTTTAATATTACGATAACGTGCTTTAATTCAATGTTAATATGCTATTAGCACTGAAGTGGTGTTACCCTTAGTTGGCCACAGATGCTTTGGGACTTAACATATCCTTTAAAGCCCCAAGGAAATGCTAATATAATTCAATATGCAAATCTGTCATGTTATGTAATCTTTCAAAATAAAGGCTAAAGCAAAAATGTGTGAGTAAAGTTTTTCTAACAAAATTATTATATTAAGCATTATGAGGTTAACTACATAAACTAAGTACATAAAACAATTCTTTAAGGAAGAATGTATATAACTTACCTGCTCTCTAATCTGGGAAGTAAGGTTTTCCATGTCTCCAGTAAAATGTTTAATCCTTTGTTTGTAAATTTTAGATGCCTTTTTTAGAGCTATAGCTTTTTGCCTACTTGATTCTTTCATCGTTACAGCCTCATGCGTACTCTTTTTCAATTGCAAGTTCCATTCTGATATTTTGGATTCTAAGCTCTAAAAAAATATTAGCAGTAATTAAATTATTTTAGAATGCCAACGTTTACATAAACTTTGTTAAAATATGTAAAAATCTTCCACACAGAATTTATCAAAATGATTAATCATAAGATTAATAAAAAGCAAAACAGTGAAGAAAGGTGATTTCACCAATGTTAATTTGTAACCAGTTACAGAATGCAAATTTAAAATGTATAAACCTATATAAAACTAATACTACTCTTACTAAAGATACTAATATTGGTGATTATAGTAAAAACACTAATTTCCCTAAAACTTTTTTGATTAACTAGAATTTTTAAAAATTTCCCATCTAGATTATACACAGTACTAGTTACTGCAAATCGAAAAAACGTAATTTAGCTGGAGACAATTCAAACAACAGGTACATAAAGCTCAAAGGAATCAGTAGCTCCCCAAATATATTAGGATTCTTTAGTTAAAATAATAAATGCTTAAAGGATATATGATCAAAATCTATAGATCATGAAGAGTATAGATGAGATAAACATAAACTTATTTACCAAATTTTAATTTACTAGAATTAAAGAGCATGCTTTGACATTTGAAAGAGTTACATCAAGGACAACAAAAGTACTACTTTGCCTAATAAGTAGTAAGTTTGTGGAAGTTATTATTCTAAAACCAGACAGGGTTCAATAAGAGTTGGGGTAAAAAAGTTAGGATTAAAAAAAGGGTAAAAAGATGTTTGAGGGCATGTTTCTATCCATTGAATTTGATAATGTTAATTGACATAACTGTTTCCTTACATATTTCTTGAGGCTATAACTAGACAGAATATTAGGTTGGGTGAAAGATGGATATGATTTAGTGTGATAACTCTCATGTTTTCACTTCAAATTAACTTAAGACTTTCTATTTAAAAGTATTTGAGTACTAACTATCTAAGAATTTAAAGACTTCAGATTTTAACGCCTTAACATTTTTTGAAAGTTGTGTAATTCTGAAAAGAATGTAAAATTATTACAGAATTTAAGTTTTAGTCTTCCATTCCTTGGACATTTTAATAAAAAAAAAATTAAAGGACTCACAGTAAAAGATGGAGCTTTTCTACTTTTTGATTAACAAAAAGTATGCTTAATTTCCACTAAAATTGAGATTAAGAAGTACATGCAAATCAAAACAACAATGAAGTATCACCTCACACCAGTCAGAATGGCCACCATCAAAAAATCTACAAACAATAGGGCTTCCCTGGTGGCGCAGTGGTTGAGAGTCCGCCTGCCGATGCAGGGGACACGGGTTCGTGCCCCGGTCTGGGAAGATCCCACATGCCGCGGAGCGGCTGGGCCCGTGAGCCATGGCCGCTGAGCCTGCGCGTCCGGAGCCTGTGCTCCGCAACGGGAGATGCCACAACAGTGAGAGGCCCGCGTACCGCAAAAAAAAAAAAAAAAAAAAAAAAATCTACAAACAATAAATGCTGGAGAGGGTGTGGAGAAAAGGGAACCCTCTTGCACTGTTGGTGGGAATGTAAATTGATACATCCACTATGGAGAACAGTATGAAGGTTCCATAAAAAACTAAAAACAGAACTACCATATGACCCACTGGGCATATGCCCTGCAAACACCATAATTCGAAAAGATACATGTACCCCAATGTTCACTGCAGCACTATTTACAATAGCCAGGACATGGAAGCAACCTAAGTGTCCACTGACAGATGAATGGATGAAGATGTGGTACACATATACAATGAAATATTACTCAACCATAAAAAGAAACAAAATTGAGTTATTTGTAGTGAGGTGGATGGACCTAGAGCCTGTCCTACAGAGTGAAGTCAGAAAGAGAAAAATACCATATGCTAACACATATATATGGAATCTAAAAAAAAAAAAAAATTCTGAAGAACCTAGGGGCAGGACAGGAATAAAGATGCAGATGTAGAGAATGGACTTGAGGACACGGGGGGGGGGAAGGGTAAGCTGGGACGAAGTGAGAGAGTGGCATGGACACATATACACTACCAAATGTAAAACAGACAGCTAGTGGGAAGCAGCCACATAGCACAGGGAGATCAGCTCAGTGCTTTGTGACCACCTAGAGGGGTGGGATAGGGAGGGTGGGAGAGGGACGCAAGAGGGAGGAGATATGGGGATACATGTATATGTATAGCTGATTCACTTTGTTATAAAGCAGAAACACAGCATTGTAAATCAATTATACTCCAATAAAGATGTTAAAAAAATTAAATTAAATTTAAAAAAAAAGAAGTACATCTTAAACAAGATCTAAGGACTTGATCTCTTTGAAAAGTAACTTGGTAGACTAAGAGAAGAAGCAAAACATTCCTAAATTGTCTTTAAAAATCTATCTAAACTAAAAAATCCCACGAAATGTTTTAATACGTAGTTGGGGAAAACATTTTAAATAAGTATAAAAAGTCTACTTAAGAGAAGCGAAGAACCCTCTCCACCAACACAAGAAATACAGCTGTCATTCCTCTAAAAAACCGCAGGGTGTCATCATCACATCATGAATAACAGCTACGCTTTCAGTTAAAAAACCTTTATTACTAAAGGTGAAATAAATTTTTTTGAACAAGGTTCCAGTCAAGACTTTCCCACTAGATTTATCAAATCCCATGCCTGAACACTATTAGGAAGTGTGCTGAAACTATCAAATTATTTTTATAGTTTCAAAATAACCCCTTCACAGTCATTTGCCAAATGAATGGACGTATATTTAGAGTCAACTATTTGCCTTTTCCTATTTCCAAAGAATTATATTTGCAGCATATTATAAAGATAATTATTCTCTGTCTCTTCTAAAATGTGAAAATATTCTAACTCTAATTACTACAGTTTAAAGATCTAGGAAGAAAAATGAGTTCAAAGTACCTTTGGGGTAGTTCTCAGAGAATTATAATGTAATTAAAAGTTTTAAAAGACCCAATACAATTTTTAAGTCATCAACAATACTAAAAAAATGAAATTTATATTGCTAAACTGAGTTCGTTCATTGTGTTTGTAGTCTTAAAGAAAAAAAAAAACTTGTTAAACCTAAATAAATCCCAAAACTGTGTGTTAGAAGGAATGTAAAAAAATCCATGACCTAACGTAACTTCTAATCATTTCTAAACAGTAGCATTTTGTAAGGGAATGTGAACTCAAAGTATTAGACAGGTGAATATCATGGTAAAACTTGGGATTTTAGCCTTATATTCACTCTCCTAATTATCTAAAAGGGAACTATTAAACTTAACTTTAAAAAGTTATTTAATATTTTATTTTTAAACTGAAGAAGGTATTTTCAAGAACTTCCCCAACTGCTATTTGAGGACAAAATTAAAAATTGTGTAAGTAAGATAAACTGAAGTATATGATTTGAGATGTTAAATTACATGTATTCTCTTGTATTTACCATGACAGAGCAAGACAATTTCAACTCTAGTTCATCTGCAGTGCCCTAGGACACCGATGCAAAAAACACAGGGAATCTTTGGGGGAAAGTGCTTAAAAGCACCTGTAGGCAGACAAAAGACAAAATTTATATCCCACATAAGCCTGCTTAATGTCCCTTTGATGGGCAAAAGCTTTTTGCCAGCGAAGAAAAAATAAACAACCCCCCCATATGCAGTCTTGAAACATGTGCCTGGACTGCAGACATCTGCCATGATTCAGGAGGATAAAAGCAAACAGAAATTTAACACAGAAGTCCTCATGCTCAGTGAGGTTTGTCTTTACACACTTCTTCCAAAAGCGAGAACACTGCTTCTTTTCCATTGACAAAAATAACGACAGTAGATCCAGTTAGCTTGTGTCATACCACAGCAACCTCAAACTCTCATCTCAAAGTGACTATGAGACTTCCACAAGAATATTTAAACTGCTCAGTTTAAACCAGAAAATTCCTCTTAATTATCCTGCTAAACTGTGTAACAAGGAGGTTACTCAATTATCTAAACAAGGCAAGGTTAACTGACCTTAACGTTATTACCATTAGTATATTGTCTGCCTACTAAATACGTGTGAGAGCATGTATGTATATGTACAGATGCATAAAAGACTAAATACTATATACCAAATATTAATGGTTTCAGTATTTTAATTTTCTCTTTTATATTTAACAAATTTTCCAAATACATATAAATTAACTTTTAAAGTAATTCAAATTTTATAAATCCTTCCCAGATTGGTACTAAAAAGTCACAGCATTTTTCTTTTTTTTATATTGGTATTTGGAGCCAAATATTTAGACAGACCAGAAATCTTAAGATTTACCTCAAATATGTACTTCCCATGGCAACACTTAAATTGAATTCTTTCAAAACCACTAAATTCCAGAATTAAGCAAAGACTTTATTGTTGTCCATTAGTTTTATCAATTAAACTATAAAAATGGGTGAATGTTTATAACCTTTATGTGTTCTTTTAATTTATCATTCTCTGCTTCCTTTTTATGAATTTGGAACTGTAGTCGTTCATGTACTACTTTCACTGATTGTGACAAACGGCTTGCTTTCAAAGCATTTGCCTATAAGAGAAAACAAAAAAAAGCAAAAATGTGTTATTTGATGTATTTTTTCACAATATTAAACTTTATCGTACTTAGACATGATCTAAAAAGTTGCTAAAGACCAAAGTACAACACTTCCCCAATTACAAATGGATTTTATATAAAACCAGGGGGATGTTTTCTCCTCCCCTTTTTTATTTAATAACTCCTAATTATCTCTTTTTAAAAGTTCCTGTCTATCCTTCTAAGTAAAATTATGGGTATGTCTAAAAAGCTCTTACAAACACAGAAATTCCTTAATTTATATTAAAATTGAAATATATATTTATACATATAGGTCCCTGACTTAGGCCAAGTACCCTGAATGAAATACCACAAAAATCTAAAAAGAAAAAAAAAAACTCTAAAAAATTAAGATATTATATTTGATGCATAAACTTGTAAAAGTGTCCAAATAATCTAAAAATATTTCTATAGGTATTTATGAGGATATGGGGGCCAGGATGGAAAGAAGAGAAAGAGGGAGTCAATATTAGGAAAATTTGATGAATTAGCTCAAAATTTGCTTACCTTTTCATTCTGAAACAAACAAGAAAGTTCTTGGATATAGGTCTCCTTTTCAAGTAACTTCGTCTTAAGATTCTTCAGCAAATATAATGTAAAAGGTAGAAATATCACAACTTGGATAATGTTGGCTAATTTTATAAAACCAACCAGCATACAAATAAAAAATTTCAGAAAAATAGACACCAAGTCTAAAAACACTTACAGTGTTTTCACTTTCATTATCAGCTAGCTTCTCTAACAAGTTGGATAAACTGTCCCCTCTCTGTGGAAAAAAAGAAGTTGTAAATCAGTGTTCACAAACTATATTTCTCTACATAAAAAAGTAGTAAATGGAATAAGCATCACTTAAGAAATTAATATGGACAACTACTATGCATAGTTCAGTTTTTTAAAAAGTTAACCATCAGAAAGATTTTTGCTTAAGTGTTCCAAATCAATTTTTATCCATAATTTATGAAATCAGTTAATTTACTAAATTAATTTCTAAACAATGCCTCATAAAGTACAAGCCAATGAAATAAAAATCTTGTATACAAAGGAGGCTCACAATGCTGATTGTAAACAGGTAAAAATTATAAATAGCCTAAAGTCTAGCAAAAAGAAATGTTTTAAAGAATTACAGCAGGGGGTTTCCCTGGTGGCACAGTGGTTGAGAATCTGCCTGCCAATGCAGGGGACACGGGTTCGAGCCCTGGTCTGGGAAGATCCCACATGCCACGGAGCAGCTAGGCCCGTAAGCCACAACTACTGAGCCTGAGCGTCTGGAGCCTGTGCTCCGCAACAAGAGAGGCCACGACAGTGACTGGCCCCCGCTTGCCGCAACTAGAGAAAGCCCTCGCACAGAAACGAAGACCCAACACAGCCAAAAATAAATAAATAAAATAAAAATTAAAAAAAAAATTATAGCAAATTAATAACAGAATTCCATGTAGATATTTTAAATGAGAATGAAAAATGTTTATTCATTTTGAGGGTCATACATACTGTATGACTTCATTTATATGAAATATCTGAAATCAGCAAATTCATAGAAAAAAAGTAGATAATGGGCTAAAGAGGGGTAGTGGGGATGGGAAGCAAAATTCTAAAGGGCAATGGGTTTCTTTTTGTAGTGATGAAAATGCTCTAAGGTTAATAGTGGTGATGGCTACACAATTCTGTGAATATACTAAAAATCACTGAATTGCATACTTTAAACCGGTGAACTGTATGGTATGTGAATTATATCTCGGTGAAACTGTTAAAAAAGGAATATATGAATGTATAAATACAATGTACACAAGGACTTAAATTCTAAGAGTATTTTATCGTAATCAACTGAAATGAAGTATAATAATGAAGTTTTTGAGATTGAAAATATATTTTCTATAAAAATATGCTGCTTTCATGTAAAACTATTTATGAAACATTGAAAGTGAGCGTTAATGATTGCCATTTCAAACAAAAATTCAAGAATCATTTCCATTTCAAATATACCAATATTTTAATTTCAAGAAATAATATACCCTTCAAGTGAGAAATACCGCTATTAAAATAGCGCTTAGTATTTCTTACCTGTTGGTGTTCTGTCTTTCTAAGAAGATGTTCTAAAGTTTGTTTTAAATGTTTAAAAGAGTCTAATTCTTTTCTTAATATTTCCTTCTGTTTAGAAATCTTCAAATTGGATGCAGAAATATCAGTCTGACAAAATATAAGAAGCACTTACACATTTTAAGACATAGCATTAAGACACTCTAAAATATAATACTACTATTATCAAAGAATACTTTTCCTAGTAATAAAATCATTCTTTTGTACATAGAAGTAGTAAGATATGCCAGGTTTTTCAGCAGTAAAAAGTATATGTTACATGGCTCTAAAGTAAAATGAAATCAAAATAAGGACTTAAACCCTAAAGTATTTCAGGCATTTATTTTAATAAAACTAATAGAATACAATCTATTTTTTTGTCCTTAACTCAAACTTTAGTACACTGAACTTTTAGAATAGAGGTTTCTATTCCACACAATACTATAGAAAATATATTTCAGCTCTCAAGAGTGAAAGTGAAGAGTGAGAGTGAAGAATATTTTAAATTCACTCTTGAGAAAAGTTGACTCTAGTTCAACTCAGGTAAGGCAAAGCACCAAGGTACTTTCTAGTCAAGCACCAAGGTACTTTCTAGCTTAGCGTCTCATCAAATACATGCCTGAGATTATCTTTGAGGAAAAGAATTGCAATTAATGACATAGGAATGAAGAACACTAATAAACCTGCATTTTTTATATCAAATGCCAGTATGTGAGCATAACTACTACAAGATATGAGACCTCAGTTAATGAATTCTGAGTATTATCCTAGCTTCTCATTTTATTACACATTCACTAGGCAAGTACTCACATTTTCAAAACTAATCTCTTCAATGGTGTCCTTAAATAATGGCAAAAGTAATTCTACAGAACAAGTTGCTAACTCGGCTTCCTTAAATGTTGCTTCCAATTTGGTCTTCTCATTTAGGATGTCCTGCTTTAGGCTAATTAGATATGCACAAATAAAATTTAAGTTAAAGCTGTTACATAAACTAGTTACGTTTTTTATGCAAACAGAGCATAGCATGATTAAATACTACAGTTCCATAAATTGCTCTGCAAAATATAACAGTAAATTGTCACAGAAAATGAATTTTTTCTGTACTTTCGTATTTTTTCTACACTTAACTATACATGGAAAGACAGTTTTTAAAATGTTAAGATATGTAAAACACAAAGACTACCAACAGCAATGTATCCCTGTGCTATTTGATAATTATTGAACATCTCTTCTCCGGTTTGTAAAATGATTTGTGTGAATGTGTTCGTGTCTTTTTTTCTTCCCTTCCTTCTCCCTTACTCCAAAGTGAAAAGCTTTGTCTTCCTAGAACTTATTCCAAAATGCTTTCTTGAAACTTACTGTTTTTCACAAAAAAAGTTCCTCCAGAAAAATGTGTAAGCTAAACAAATGGAACACAAAAAACTAAACCTCTCCAAATATCTAAAAATCCTTCACATTTGGCTTTATAAAACATTATTATCATTCAAAACAAAACTGATAATATTTGCCTTCTTGATTACGTTTTACACAGACATTACTGTGTATCACTGTAAGATACATCTTTGGGTATGGGGGCTCACATTTTTACATCCCGAAATTGGGATGCTTCTTACAATCTCTGTCAGTCTGGAAGCAGTCCTGAGCTGTCTTTCCTGTACAGGTCCAGAACTTACAGAATGAACATCCAACGTTTTGAAGAACATCACAGAGATGGGGTACAGCACTTTTTTAACCCGTAACAACAAAGGGTCATAGAGAGGGACTGGAGGAGTTGTTGAAGTAGGAATGTTTAGCAACATTCTAGAAGCAAGACCCCAAGGTAGGCTTGCTGTATATTTTAAGAGCCCATCACCAATAAATTTCATTTCAGTTATAGATGCTCCTAAGAAATACCAGTACATATCACCAATACTCTTAATAGCAAGGATAACTCTGAGTCAAAAAGTAACTCATAAGAGTTGGGCTTTGAGTATAAAGAAGTTTTGAGAATACCTTACCTACTTTATTTCATTCACATTTTATTTTTATATAAGTGCAGAGTTATTTGGACTAAAAATCTATGTATAAGTTTGAAGGAGCTTTTTCAATATCTATAAATAAAATTCCAAGCCATAAGAAAGCATTGTGTCTTTCTTTAATTGACACCTTTTTTCTTTTATGGAACATAATGTAATGGCTCAGCTACAATGAATGGCATCTTAGAGGCTATGTCTCTAAGAAGTATTCTTAAGTACCACTTAAGATGTCTTAAAATGATGGGCCCAGTGAAGATGGTTGCTACAAAAGACAGTTATCATTATTAAAAACCATTTACAGAAAGTCAAGAATGATTATATATGACCAAACAACATTTTCATTTAAGCTAAACTAGAAGTTGGACTATAGTATCCATAGCAATAAGCATGGTATTTTAAGACTTATTCTGGGGAGCAATGAGTCATACAAATAACAAGTGCACCCTCCATACTGAAGAAGCAAAATATGACAGGTATTTGTTAAATAGCAATATCCCAAATGACAGGGAAGTAGTACTCATTAGCTATATTTCCAATATTCCATCGTATTTATATTTTCATTTACATTAGTTAGAAAGATATATACTTTACAAATCTTTTTATAGGTAAGGTTTTCATTTTTAATTGCTTTCATTAAAATTCCAAAATAACTAGGCAAATTCTGCTAAATGAGTACATCTGTAATCAGATTAAATAAATATAAATTACTAGGCTGTTAGATGATATTCTTGAAAGAATGCTGTATTTGATTCAAATAATTTACAGTATGGACAAAACATGAAACCCTGAAATCAAAAAATTAAGCTATCCCCTGCTATTGTTGAGAATACCAGCTGAGATGACTTTCACTGGCATGCCGTGGTAAATGTTCTTTCTCTGGTAAACTTTTAAAATGGGAAAAGAGTTCTTCTGAATGACTTCCATCATTTGTAGGCTTCTCCATAAATTCGGTAAATGGATTTATAGGTGGCTTCCACAACAAGTTCTCCACATAAGCTGAAATCTAGGAAATATTTTAATTATTAAACATCATTTCAGTAGATTCTTTTTTTCTGCTATTACCCAATAAGATAAAAATCCTAAAGATCTGTAAACGAATAATATTTCACAGACAAACTTGAAATTATAACTGCTACTCATTGTGATACTAATTCAAAATAGTATCAAAATTGCATAGCATAATAATTCAACGATTGCCAACTCCCATACACAGTTTCCAAAAGGCCCACTATTTTCTACATACTCACAAGAATGCAGAAATTACTATTAGTCTATTTCTTGAAGTATTATAATAATATCCTAATCCAATCGGACTAGAAAATGGATATAAAAACCACAGAATAACTATCATTCTCAGTTGCATTAGATTTATCCAATAGGAAATGTATGTTATTCATGCCTGTAACAGTAAAAATTTAAGATACTTTTGAAAGTATTTGGCAACAATAGCTACAAAGAAGTTATTTTCTTAAAGTAGACTTTTCAATATTAAATTCATTTATTCCTATAAATAAATCATATTTTTTAAAAAAGCTCAATCTAAGTTATTCTTTGGTGACAATGAATGGACAGATGACATTACTTCTAAGTTTTACTAAATAATCTAATAGTTTTCTCTCAAATTTGGAGATGTCATTTTTAAAATGTGAATATTTATGAATTTCTTCAAAACGATTCCATTTTAAGTAATGAGTTAGTGCTTTGGCAATCATTAAGGCTGTATTTTTTCAAATCTAATATATGGAAATGTGTCTCCCTAACCTTGTTTATACAAAATCAAATGTCATATTTAAGGTTTTCTGCATTTTTCAGAGATATTTTACCTCTATGTAATTTATTTTTATTTATCTGTATCATAAAATACATATGTTCAAGAATTTTCAATACTTTAAGTAGACGTGAAATTAAAGGTTGAAAATTATTCACTATATTTAATTAGCAATTCAGAAATCCTTTCAAATGTCTGTAAAAATTTATCTATTTTTTTTGTCCAAAGGTTCTGTATACCAGAAAGATAAATATTTAGGATACAGGCCAGTGAAAAGCATCCTCATATTTTTTCAATACTAGAAACTCACGTCAAAATGGAAATGTTGGGCTTCCCTGGTGGCGCAGTGCTTGAGAGTCCGCCTGCCGATGCGGGGGAGGTAAAAGAGCGGGGAGATTAGAGGAATTTGAGCCTGTTTTCACAACGCCAGTTGGGATGCTGGAGAAAATTTCTGTGACATTGAAACTGCCAGTTACTTTATTAGATTTTCATTTCTAAAGCAGAACTAAATAAGTGCAGTCAGCCAATAAAAAAAAAAAAAAAAAAAAAAAAAAAAAATGGAAATGTTGAATAAGATACATATAGTCTAAGATGATCTACCTGAATGCTGCAAACACGCATCTGTTATTAGGACATAACAACATTTTGAGCTATTGGTAGCCCAGAAAAATTAAAAACATATGGATACACAAAATCAAATGAAAAACCAAACCTAAAGGTGAAGAAGAATATGCTTGGATAAGTCACTGCCATCAAGAAAATTATCATCTACTGATTTGTTCAGTTTTGGTACTTATCTTTTGTCCATTCACTTGTTTAAATATTCGTCTCTCTGTACAATGGAATCTCAAAAAAGAATGTCTTATTTATTGGAATCCTCAGCACCTATAAGCCTTGTAAAAGCTAAGCAATATTTCAAGGAGAGGACTCAAGGCTTAGAGCAATTAATGAATAAGATGAATAAAGACTGCTGCTTTTTTACTTATCTTTTCAGGGATCATTAAAAGAAAAATAGTTCATATATTTAAAATAAAAGTTCACAAATCAGTGTAAGAGGGTAGAGATCTTCAATTTATTGAAAACATTTTATGAGGTAAGATTCAGTTTGGTATCAGTACTTTAAATTAGTTCTTGCTTGGCTTTGTGGGCTATTGGCAGCTATTTATATAATTTTTCTATAAGTTTGGTCATATGATAAAATCATACAACATAAGTAATTGTATCTTATCTTAAAGGGTAAACAAATAAAACCAACATATTATAAAAATAGGGATTTTTAGAATGACTTTTAGCCCAACATTCTAAAATGTATCTTCAATACTGATTTCTCAAAACGTGAAACAGAGAACTGGGTATGTCTCAAATATTTGCATAGAAATTATCAACTATCATATTCTCACAATCTAGAAATGAATATAGGATAAATATTGTTGAGAGGTTCCAAGGTACTCCACTATTTTTGTGTTGTGACAATACTTTAACCAAAAACATGTGTGCTGAACAATGTAATAATTTTCTTTAGCAAAAAAAATCCTGCCTTTATAAGAAATGCTATCATTTTGGGAGACCAAATGTATTCTTGAGTGGAAAAGCAGACATTTCACAAGAAAATGTTTTCAATTATGTAGAATAAACTGCCAATTTACAAATGTATTATACTTTTGTATAACTTGTTAGTGGTGAAACAAAGACACATATTCTGCACACATACTTAATGATCAAATCCCTAAAGAATAGCAATTTAAAATATTTTTAATGTTTAAAGAATTAAATTTCCTATACAGAAATGACTTTATCAGTCCCCTACCCAAAAGGCATGTACTTAAAGCTTCTTCCAGGTGTGGTCATGGGTTTATGCTGATCCAACTACACTCATTTAACTATGTTCCATTTTGGCCAGCAACAAGCATTTGAGGGATGGCTGTTCAGGGACCATGATGCTGGCCATGGTAAGAGAAAAGAAAGATCAGTCCATGACCTTCTGCAGCACCTAGATTGTTCTACGTAAACTAACCAGCTCCAAGTATGTATTCAAAACTAATCTCTCTAAAGAGACTAGCATATGAATCTTGCAGTTTTCAATTTGTTTTGCCAAACACTAATCCTTGGAAAACTAGCTCCCACTGGCTTCAAACAAAAGCACACAGCTTATACTGAAAAATTCACTATGAAATATTCAGCAAAGAATACCAAGTAGATACAGGAATGTTGCTAATTTCCCACACTACTCTAAACACTAGTCAAAAGTTTACTAGAGAAGTAATTGTATGCCTTTTTGGACTCCACAGTGAAAAAAAAAAAAAAAGGTATAAGAAATTTGGAAGTAGGCAGAGTAAAAATAACCAGAAGTGGAAAACTGATCTTATCAGTAAAGGCTATCAAAACTGGAAAAAACATTTTCTGATATAGAGAGATTAACTTTGAAAAGTAATTAGCTAATGCTTCTGTCCAATGAATAAAGGAATTTAAAAATAAAAGTGTTGCAGATTGGATAATACGGGGGAAAAAAGTTGACAGGAAGAGTGACTGATTTGTAAATAAAGGATACATACATACTTTCAAGGCCCAAGTCCTCCCTCCTTCTCAAAATGTTCCTCTGACTGATCCAGCCCACCAAGAATCCTAAACATCTAATAATATTCTCAGAATCATACAGTTTAGAATTTAATTGCTCCATAAATGGTAATATTTTAGTTCTTCTTTAAACTTGCTACTAAATCTGTGAGGGCAAATATACCCATCACCATCTACCCTCAAAAATTAATCAGTGAGAGGCATAGGTTAGGTTCCGATATACAAGTTAGGGTCACCAAATAATTTATTGTTCAAACTGAAACACTTTTGAGAGGAAACCCCACAGAGAACCCAATTATCCAGAAGACGGGACCAAAGATGTTCAGAACATTGTCTAACCCCAAATAGTCAGCATCCTTTATCAGATAAACATAAAACATTTTCCTTCCCTTCAACAAAAGGACAGCATGAGGGCATGCTGCCATTTATTAACAGCATTCACTGACCAAAAGCCTACACTGTTGCTATTATCACCTAAAGGCTACTCACTGAAGAAACCAAGTTTTAGAAAACAGCTTGACCAAGATTACAAGTAACAAAGTGGTGGAACTCAGTTTTGAATTGAAAGCCATCAGGTACTGAAATATAAACATAAGAATCTACACAGCTGAAAGTAACATACAAACTTCCCTTTTATAAGAGTGTTTTAGCACTCTCATAAATTCAGTTTATATTAAAAAAAAAGAAAATTGTTCTGTACAAGGAAATGAAGGATGAATAAGACTGAGCTCCTTGAAGGCACAGACTACAAGTCTAAAGAGAGAGCAGTGAGCAGACCACTAAAATCCAGTGTGCTAAAGACTATGATGGGGACTCATCAGGTACCGCGAAAGCAACTGGCAGGATCCTGGGAAACTTCCCAGAGGTGGATCCTCAGTAGAGTCCAGCAGAACAAGTTTGAGCTTGGCAAAAGGGAACAGAAAACAGGCAATCCGGATAGAGGGTAAAGTACCAGCAAGAACAAGGAATCATGACGGAACATGATTTGAAAAGGCACGTGGCAAAAGATGAGACTCGACACATGAAAGTACACACTGTATATCAAGCTCAAGAGCTTGAATTTTTTCCTAAAGGTTAAGACAGACCATTAAATAATTTTAAGCAGGAAAATGACAGATCAGAAGTGCATCTTTAAAAGATAAGTACAGGGCTTCCCGGGTGGCGCAGTGGTTGAGAGTCCGCCTGCCGATGCGGGGGAGGCGGGTTCGTGCCCTGGTCTGGGAAGATCCCACATGCAGCGAAGCGGCTGGGTCCATGGGCCATGGCCGCTGAGCCTGCGCGTCCGGAGCCTGTGCTCCGCAACATTGAGAGGCCCGCGTACCGCAAAAAAATAAATAAATAAAAGATTAAAAGGTAAGTACAGTGGTGTTTTGGAAAATGGACTCAGCATATGGATGAGACGAGAGGAGAAGCAGTGATCAGGTTATTAGGGTCTCAAGAGAGATGAAATTCCAACATTCTTTTCCAACAAAAATTTTTGAAATCAAGTTGTTGCCACTGGTGATTTAAAAAAAAAAACAAAAAACATGAAAAACAATGAAGGACTTAGAATACAGGAATAGCAAGAGATCAGTATGGAAAGAAATGATCAAATGTAACCCCTCATTTACCCATGACCATCTGAATGGATTGCTCCACATCTAAGTTGCAGGAAATGATT